ACAGTATCTACTATGACTCAGCATTACAGAACACAGCTACTTTATTAGACAGAAGCCCTGTCTGAACTGGCTGAGAGGTCCTGAGGAAGAGACAGGGTGGCAAGAATTACTGCCACGGCAAGTACAGAACCAGGGCTCAAAGCCCTACTTCTCATTCATACACAGTCACTGGACAGAAATTGAATTATGGGTTTCTGGTCACTAGTCTCATGTCCTAGAGAGTGATTAATAGAAGCTGCTGGTGCAGGAAAGCCAGATCTCATGGGCTAAAGAACAAAATTAAAATTAGGAAGTAATTTTTTCAGAAGACCCTGGTGAGAAGTGCAAGGGAAGAGAATCAGAGAACAACTAATTGAACCATAACACCACAATGCTACACAGATAAGTGCCTGTCAGGGAAATCTGCCCACAGTCCCACTGCGGTTACAACATCCACTTTGTAGATGAACACAGTTGGGAGTTCTCCTTAGGGGTGTAAGGGGGCTACTGTGGAAATCCAAAGCACCCAAAATCCCACCCATTCATTCAGTCAACAAGCTTCATGCAGCATCCACCCTGGGCCAGGTATAAGGCACCAGTGCCTGCCCTCAGAAAGCACCACCGAGTAGAAGAGGTGGGTGCAAATGACAAGTGCAGGTGGGCTAACACCAAGAGCCATCTTCCTCCTTGCTTCATGTGTCAAATGAAGGGAAATCCTTGAGAATGACACTTCTGGTCTCTCTCCACTCCCTCACCGGCTCATCTCAGGAGAGGAGACAACTACTGACATGCAAGTCAGTCTGTGAAAGGGAGCAAAGCATAGGTGGCTCAGACTTCCCTCGTTCCCTTTGGGTCCCACCCGCCTTCTGCAGGAGTCCATCTTCTCCCTGCTCGCCAGGCTGTCAGTGTTGCGGAGGCAGGAACTTCTCAGTACATCCATTGCTGGGGTGCAATATCAGCAAGTCCACTTTATCATCCAACCCAAAGTCAGAAAAAAATAACCCATGTAGCCTTGAAATAAAGATGACGTTTTTATCTCCCATCGTGACTGTGACTCAGTTCTGAATTTACGCAGGCTACAAAGCTATCATTTATGACTGCTTCTTTTTGCTATGAGTGCTTTGACTATCCCATTTGCCCTTTTTCCCAGCCACTGTTATTTATCCTTACAATATTTTGGTGAGACAGCATGATACTTTTACAGAAGAAAAAGTACAGAAACTGAGCATTGAATGCCTTATCAGAGGCCACTTGATAAGCTGATTTGTTCACTTAGGATGGAGAATTCAGATTCCCTAACACAGATGTCATTAAGAGTGCATGGCCTTCCATTTCAAATCTTGGGGGAGGTCTGAGGAGAGGTTGCTGAATATTGGAGAAGATTTTCTGCCATGTAGGAGGGTCTGTCCTATTAGATCTAGAATATGAACACCATGTACAAGGTTCTTCCACCCACTTTTCTTACACAGCTCTGAGGATGAAGCAAAGGGAGGAATTGGGGACAAGGAGTAGGAAAATCCTTCTCTTGCTTTGGGGCACTTATACTTCATTCACAAAACAATTACTGCAGTTCTCCAAGTGCCAGGCACCAATGTTGGACTACAAAGATGAATACTACACTGTCCCGGATGAATCCACTTTCCTCCCCCTCTGGGTAATACTGCAACCCATTTGTTAGAAGACATCAGCTGCATGGACACGGCTGCCTACAGAGTCTATTCATAGAGAATGGATTACTCTGGTTTCTGCATGCTACCTCCTCTCTAGCAGCCCTAGTTCTCCTGCTATTTGGAGTAATTTAGTACAATACAATGTTTTAAAAAGAGTGGGGGATGCCAATATAATCCCAATCTGAATGCAGACCATAAGGTATATGGCTGCAAAGCACACTCTGAAGTGCCCAGTTGCCCATAAATGAAAGGCATGGGCAATATTCCAGGCTAGGGAAAAGAAACAGGATGCTGCAATTAAATTCAGAGAGGAAAACAGGCTATCCATAAAATAAACAAAGAGCACTCTTTTTCATCTTAAACTCAATGCTACAGGTTCAGCAAAATGAATGAGCTCCCTACTTGCTCTTAACACTTCTACAGGTTCAAGCTTAACAGGTTACACATTGTAAAAAAACCTCCTAATTTGATACTAATTAGAAAGATTTACATGAACTGAAAATTCAAAATAAAATACACATGCCAAGTGGCGTACACACATATATCTTAATGAACACAGGAGGTAGAAGGGGACACAGAAAATATTTACTAAGGATCTATATTCCAGGTTTCCTTCTATAAACCCTCTTATTTAATCCTCACAATTTTCTTGGGAAGTAAACAATAAAGGTACCCATTTTTTTCCAGATGTGTAAAGTTCAGATGTTAAGAAACATGTACCATATTTCCTATTCCATTTCCTCTGGCAAAGGTCATTACTCTCTGAATCAGTATTTCTCACGGAATGTGGTCTTCATTAGTGGGTTTTGGGCTGGGAACTTTGTATCATATGGCTGTACACTGCAGGACATTTAGCATCCCTGGCCATGGGCACAAAATAACAATAGCCCCTACATATCACACACATACCCTAGAAGGACAATTGCCCCTCAGATGAGAAACACTGCTCTTGAAGATTCTTTGAGCATCAAGACAAAAGACTGAAGGGAGGGCACTTCCTTTAAAATTCTTCCCTACCTTCAAATCTCTCAAAAGTTGCTTGTTTTGTGGCATTTGGGATAAGAAAGCCCTATGCACTCTTATGGAGTCAGTAACAAAAGCTCCATGATTTATTTCCAATGAATTCCATGAGCTTTTATTGAGGACCTATTATGAGTCAGGTACTGTGCTACTGCTGCGGAATAGCAAGTCAACGAGAGCCTAGTCCCAACACCCAAGGGGTTATATATATACCAAGAGTTTTATAGTCTAGTAAGAGATAGTTTAAGCTTGGTGTTAGGATAGATGTAAGTACAGGTGCCAGGACCCAGGGCTGAAACACCTCACATAGACTAGGGTAGAGCCCTGGGACAGGTTCTCAAAGGAAGTAGATTCCCTGAGCCTTGAAAGACTAAGTGAGAGTACCCAGGAAGGGCTCAGTCCAAGCTGAAAAAAATGCCTTTGCAAAAACCAGTGATAGGAATCCTATTTGCAGTCACAGTTTAAACTACTCCCTTCATTCTTCAAGATGATACTTCACTGTGATTCAAACTCAGGCTCCCCTGTTTACCAGATAAATACTTTAACCAAGTAAGTCACTAGAAAATAAAATATGCTCTCTACAGTTCATGCAACCTTCCTTCCAAAGCCCTTGTTTTCAAAAGTCTTGCTTTTCTGGTATAATGACCTATCACGCAAGAAATATGACTAATTCTATATGTCTTACAGTGAGCAGGAAATTGTTTTCAAATACACTGGGGATTGGCAACCAGTGGGAGTGTCCCTCATTTGGGAACACAGAAGCATAGTGGAAAGATAATAATGTCATCTGAAGATGGGTAAGGGAGACAGGGTGCCAGTAGGTCAACTTACCCTTGGCCTTAAGCTCAGGATGACTTTTATTTTTCCCACTGAAGTCTTGTTTCATTTACCATCAACTATAACAACGTAAAAAAAACCAGATTCTCACCCTGTTATTATACATGCAGAGAAAGGAAGACTTAGAAACATCTTTGGCTATTCGTTTTTTCAAAGCCATGTATGTGTTCTTTATACATATATGTATTTATTTATGATTTAAAAACCAAGGTATATATAAATAAGTGTATTAAATATAGATAGATCATTAGAAGTGAACAGCTTGAGATGTCTAAACCTGAGAGAGCCCAAAAGCAACACTGTCCTGAGTTAATGAGCTCTCTGAGCGTAGGAGCTGGGTTACTGCTACATAAAATGGTTAAAGTCATTATAAAGTGCGGGAGTCAGATTAGTTCAATTGCTCTTTCCTGGGGTGGGGGTGGGGGCGGGGGCGGGAAGCAAGCCAGCCCTTGAGGTTCCTTTCTGCCTCTAGTCTACAAGGAATGGGCTCATTTCCCTTTGGCAGGGAGCCTGATGCAGCTGGCGGGCGTGCCCTCTTTCCTACCCCTCTTACCTGAACCCGGCTCAGGAACCTCACCCAGTAGATAAACGTCGGCTCCTCTTTAGTTCCATGATTATTTAATTTTATCATTCAGGCGGAGTTTGACCTCTAACGTGACATCACAAACACATTTGGTCCACATTTTACTGCCCTCAACAAGAAAGCCTGTATTCCAAGAGAATCTGAAATGAAAACCCGGGATCTCTCACAAACCTCCCGTCCCTGCTTTCAACCAGGAAGTTCAGAGGAGGCAGGAGTGTCCAACCCAAACTGCAAAGGCAAAGGCCAACACTACATTTGGAAAAAGGAAGATAGTCTTCAAAGAAAAACCTTCTTTGGTCTTGACCCAAATTGAAAATGTTGGTTGTCCTTTTTATCCCTGGCTGATTCTGTTCTGCGTCTGCAAACTTTGCTAACCCCTGGAGGGTTGTATAAACAGAGACAGGTGTAGGACATCTCCACCCTCTGGGTACATCTGCTGCCCCCACTGCCGGGTAGACGAGGGGCCCCGACCCAATCGCAGTCCAAGCTTCCCAATGACGCACTGGGCCAGGGTCCTCTCCCACGTGTGGGGACAAAGCCAGCATCCCTAACCTGGTAGCCATCCAGCCGGCCCTAGCAGGAGGGGACAGCGAAAGGGGCACCGCAGAACCGCGACCTCATGTGGGTCTATCCGGCTCTCCCCCATTCTCAGCACATCGTGTCACATTAGGGGTACTCTTCGTCTTCAACCCTAAAGTCCTGCACACCTATGAGTCTTTCCAAAGCGTCCGAATAAAGCGCCTACTGGCCTTCCGTGGCTCAGGTAAGTGCCAAGTGGTGTAGGAGGAAAGGGCCCGCTCTCCACCACCATCCCCTTTCCTCTCCTCCCCACGTTCCCCAAGATTCATCAGGATGTGTGTATTGGGGTGCGCGGGTGAAGAGGGAGCTTAAAACGCCCAAGCGTCCCTTACCTTCCACAGCCATTCTCTCAGAGCTTCCCTAACGCATGCATAATTTTCTTGGCCGAGGTACTCCTCCGGCCCCGCGCTCCCCCCGCCTCGCGCTTTCGCCTAAATATTCTGCGCTCATCTGCTCCAGGACCAACCTGCCGCGGTCACGCAGAGCGAGGCTGTCCGCTCCCGGCTCGGCGCAGAGCGTCCTGGGAAGTGTAGTTCCCTCACTTCGCTCCGGACAAGGACAGCACTTAAGTTCTCTGTGCGGCGCGGCCGCGCCGCCGCACTCGGCCCGCAACTCCAGCCTTAGCTGGCCGGGGCAGGGCGACGCCCTCTCAGGAGGGTCTCGGGAGAAGTGCCGAACCCGGGAGGGGCTGGGACTACATTTCCCAGGATGCCGTGCGCGGGGGTTCGCTCGGCACTTAAGAGACCCGGGATTGAGATCCTCCCTGTCAATTAGAGGCGGGTAAGCACCTGGCAGGGTCTGCGTATAGGGCAGAAGGTGCCAGGGTTTGTGTTGTGACCTTCTAGGCTTGTTCTCTGGCCTCTTTGGCCACCCGTTCCGTAAGGAGAGCAGAGCCACCGGCCGGCTGTGGTTCTCTGCCTGCCCAGGGAGTTGCCGCTCAGGGTGCAGCTAAAACTTGTTCCTTGGAGCCCTGGGATATGTGGGGTTTAGGGAATCCCGCCAGGTGATACAGCTGTCTTCTGTTACTCCACGTGGGTTATGTTGCTAACTACTTGGCAAAGGGGTGAGGGATGGCTTAAAAACCCCGAAGAGGCATCATCCCCAAAGGGTTGGTCTTTGGAGCCAAACCTACAAGATTCCACCTGAGGGTGTCAGAGGGTGGAAGCCTGACCAGCTCCAAAGTAGGAGGCTTTCAGTTTGCTGGGTCTGGGAGCCCACTGGGGGTCTGTGATAGAGCCTCATGGTGAACGGCGCTGAAGAATTGTCTTCTTACAACTTCTGAACCTGGGTCCTAACTCCAGGTGCTGGGGTTCTATAAGCAGACTGGAAAAAGAGAATCACCTGGAGGACAACAGAGTTCCAGAGCTGGTAAATATTGATGAAAATGAAGTTCCCAAACTCTTTTTCCCCTCTGCATGTGAAATACAGATGTAGTTATGGCTGGTAGCGGTAGGGAATGGCCTTACAAACAAATCTAACCCAGGACTGCACTCTTGCAGACCTTGAGCTCAGAAGTGCATAGGGTACCACCTCCTTTCACCCAGCCCCCAGCTCATCTACCTCCCCCCACCATGTATAATTTTTTAAAAACTATTCCGGAAAATAAATTTAAGGAATTACAAAGATCCCATTCTTCCTATTAAGATGACTACTTAGATTTTCTGTGTCTGTCTCTGTCATAATATTTTTTTAAACAAAACAATTTTGTTTCTGAGAGTGCATGTGCGCACCTGCTTTTCTGGTCACTAACTACGTGCTTAGTCCTCCTGTTGGGTAATATGACTGTGTCTGGGTGGTTTTAAAAATACCTGTGTGTAACTGTGAAATGCCCTTGGTGATGCTTTAACTCTGAGTCCATAGAGCTGTGTTTATCAAACCCAAGTCTTCTACCCTTGGTACAGTAGAGAGACTTGTTCAGTGAGATACAGCTGCCATGGATAAAACAATTTTTCAAACCTAACATGCAGTCAAGCATTAGAAAATCTAGAATGAATTCAAATCCAGGTGCTTCACTCCCCTCTCAAGTATATGACACCACCAAAACAGTTACCCTTTCCTTAGATTGAACACATGGAGAGGAAAGCTGTGGGCCAAACATTATCAATGGTTCTTAACCTTTTCTCTGCATCAGCCTTTTACAGACACACATTCCTAAGCCCCACCTAAGTCTGACAGAATCTGGATTTGTAAGGGTTTAGGTAGGTTTTTAAACATTTGAGTTTGAAAAATCCACACATGATTCTAATCTGCATCAAGGGTGAAAACCATTGGTCTGTTTTCAGCTTTTAAGGATCTGGGTTGTACTAAAATATAAAAGTCATTGAAATCCATTTTTAATTTAAAAACTTTATTTCAGCCCAAAGTCTTCAAGATCTTTCCTGACTGATGTGCATTCTAGCTTGAGTTTCATTTTTTAGTATAAATATAAATAAGATATGAAGGAAATATTAGTTTAACCATATGAAATAGCCAATATTTAACTGTTTTTTCCTATAAATTTCATGTGATTCAACCAAGGAAAAGCAGCCATTAAGCAGGGGTTTTCAATAATGGCCAAATACTAGAATCACCTGGTAAGCTTAAAAAAAACAGAACAGTTTCCACTATACCAACTCTTGGCAAGATTGTGGAGAATTAAGGATTCGTACATACCACTGGTGTTGTACAAATTGAAACAACCATTTTGGAAAACCATTTAGTTTATCAGTTGAATATATGCTTACCTGTGACTAAGCAGTTCCACTCTTAGGATATACGAAACAGATATGTATACACATACACATCTTCTCCAAAAGACATTTACAGGAATGTTGTGGCTGCTTTGTTTTCAGTAGTTGCAAACTGGAAACAAACTGAAGGTTCATCAACAATAGATGACAAACCATCCTATTTAGCAGGGTCAGCAAACTTTGGCCCAAGGGCCAAATATGGTCTACTGTCTGTCTTTATATGTATAGCTCATGAGTGAAGTATGGTTTTTACATTTTTAAATGGTTGGGAAATAATCAAAAGATAAATAATATTTTGTGACATGAAAATTATATTGAAGTAGCTACATAATATCCTCAGTTTTGCTTTTTGGCCTGCAAAACCTGAAATATTTCCTGTTTGGCCCTTCCAGAAAAAAGATTTACCAAACCCAACTATAAAGTAATGAGAATGAATGGACTGCAATCACATACAACAATACAGGTGAACCACATGCATTAGTTACCTTCTGCTGGTAACAAATCACCCCAAAAGTTAGTGGCTTAAAATAATAGCCGTGCATTATATCAGTTTCTGTGGAACAGAAATTTGGGCACAACTTAGCTGGGATGTTTACTACATGGTCTTTTACAGGCTGCAATCCAGGTGTTGGCTGGGTTGAAGCCATCTGAAGGCTCATCTTGGGAAGAATCAGCTTCCAAGCTCACATGGTTGTTGAAAGAATTCAGTTTTTCACAGTCTGTTGGATGGCTGGCATCAGTTCTTTGCTGGCTGATGGCCATCCTTATACTTTGCCACAGGGGCCTCTTCATGATGGCGGCCTGCTTCATTAAAGCATGCAAGCTAAGAAAGCAGTGGAGTCTGCCAGCAGGATAGAAGGCACAACCTTTTGTTACCTAATCATAGAACTGCCATCCCCTCAAAGTTGCCATATTCTATTAGATGCACGTTGCTTAAGGGAAGGCCATAAATAGTAGGAGGTTGAATCATTGTGGGTCATCTTAGAGGCTGCCTGCCAAAACACACAAGCAGAGTGATGAACAAAAAAATGGTTGAAAATATGTATTGTGTGATTCCATATATATATATAAAACCAGACAAAACCAATCTAGGGCATTAGAAGTCGGGATAGTGCTTCTTCTGTGTGTGCAGGAGGTTAAGGGGTGAATAGTAGTTACTGGAAGGAAGCCTTATGGATGCATCTGGTGTGCTGAGAGTATTCTAATTCTTGAGCTGTGTGCTGTTTTCACGTGTATAATGTGTGTGAAAGTGTATCCAGCTCTATATGTTTGATTTGTGGAAGTGTGTGTATTTCTTATACTCCAAAGCAAAGTTTAAAAAAGGAATATTAGATTCAATTACATATGACAAATGACCCACTTATCACCCACTCTTTGATTATGTATGCCTTGCTTTCTTTACCATAGCAAAGTGACAGTTCATTCCATTCTATGCCATTTAACAAGAATGTTTTGAGGATTTACAATGTGCCCTGCATTTGTCTAGATGCTTGTGGTATATTGTAGACTGAATTTCTAGAAATGGCCCTCAAGATTCATGCCATAATCCCCAGTACCTATGAATGTGATGGGTTATTCCTCCTGTGGTTGTATTATGTTTTAAGGCATAGTTGACATTAAAAAGATGGAAGATTGTCCAAGTGTGCCTAATCTGATCAATCAAGAAAGATTTTTTTTCTAGCAGAAGAGGAACTCGGATTATAGACATGAAAAACTCAGCACATCAGTCACTCCTTTGAGTAGGAATACAGGTGGCCCCTGGCAGCCAGCCAGCAAGGAAAAAGGACCCTCAGTCCTATAGCTTCAAGGAACTAAATACTGCCAACAATCTGAGTGAGCCTGGAAATGGATTCTTACCCAGAGACTTCCGATAAGCCTCCAACCCACCTGACACCTTGATTTAGGTCTTGTAAAACCTGAACAGGGAATGCAGGTGAGCCCACCCATCCCTGGGAACTACAGAACTGTGAGTTAATAAATGAATATTTTTTTAAATGGCTATATATCTGCTTACTTTTTGTTAATTTGTTAATTTGCTTTATTTGTTATGCAGCAATCGAAACTAATACAGGATTCATTCTATACAAAGCAGTTATCCTGGATCTATTTTTGTGAATGAAGACAGTACAGTAAAAAAAAAAAATACATTAATACTAATGCTGACAAAGTAAATCAGAATCTCTTGGGGTAGGACTCCACCCCCAGCATTTTTCTTTTCTCAAGTACTTCAGGAGGTTCTAATCTGTAGCTTCTATTGAGCAACCTTATTAAAGAGACAGAGACCAAAATGCCTAACCAGAGACTTGTTCAACATTCCCCTCTACTACATGCTATAGTCACCTGTCACTGAGTCTTGTCACATCTTCTTGCAGCATCTGTTGTGAATGTGGGCTTCCTCTGGGTCTTCTGCTACCATGCTGGAGGAGTCAGAGCTGGGTTGCATTTCAACAATGTCAGAGCCTCCACTCATTGTATAGGGACAGGTGGAGACTCTGGTTTTACTCACCTTTGACATCTCTGCCACCAGTACTGTGTCTGGCACATAATAAATACTTAACACATGTATTATGTATTTTTAAATAATGCCTGGTTGAATGAGTGCATGAATAAAATACCTAATCATGATTAGGTCTACAAAGAATCAGCAAGTTAATATTTTGTTTGTTTGTTTTATTGTTCCATTCTCTTAGAAGAAGATATTTTTATACTTAGAATCAATTAAAAAATGACTTGGAGACAAGTGAATCTAGCCTCCTCATTCCAGAGTTGAGGAAAAGAAAAGGTTTGCCCAGGTCACACCAATCAGAGTCTGAACCCAGGTCCTGTTCTAGATGCTGGCATGGTTTAGTGG